CAATCTTTCAAAAAAAAAAAACCAAAAATTCTTCATTTATATGTACACATGCTTTTATTGTGTAGTAGAAAATAAATTTGTAATCTTATTGCAGATACATTTAATATTGCAACACTACTACTAAACAAATTACAGCTAATTTCCTTTTACTTGAAAAAAAAAACTATCCCATTGTGTCATCTAAGGTTGTCTTCTTTGAAAACTGTTTCGTTGGCCAACACAATGACTGGGGGAGGGTAATGAGAAGATGCACTTCTTTTTTAATGCTTCTCACAATCAGCATGCCTCGTAAGTGCATTATTCCGTAATACTTAACACTAAATGAGGTTTGGCAAATGATGCAATGAGTTGAATGAATATCATCATCACCACGAATTAACCAAGTTTTGAATTCATTCACTCAAGCCATATTTTCCTAAATTTACAATTACATGTACTTATTCAAGGAAAAAAGAATGAAATGAATGCCTAGACTGATTCATCTTAAAAAATCAACTTTTAAAACTCAAAACAACAGTAAATTTAGTGCGAAAAATTATTTTTACTTAAAATTGCATGAAACACATTTGAAAATTTAACATATTACATCATCTTTTAAGAATTATAACAAAAACTTTAATTGTTAGTTATAACGAGAAAGTCGTTTTATCATTACAAAACGCTTCTGTATAGGCTGAAACTAATTTAGCCTAAACAACACCTTATATACTTTTTACAGCAACACTTTAATTTCTATAAAATAATGTTTTTGACCCTTTTCACAGGTCTGCATCAGGTTTAACAAAAAGATTTGAACTGTCTTCTTAAACAGTGCAAATCTTCTTGTTAAACTGATGCAGATTTGTGAAAAGAGTAAAAAATGTTCATTTAAACAAATTAAAGTGTTGCCAAAAAAGTATTTGAGGTGTTGTTCAAGCATTTTACCATTACAAGTACACATACTAAATATTAAAAATAATTTTATCTAATATTTTTTCAATTAAATATACTTTTGTTTATATTTTAAACTGTTTTGCTGAAACTTAAATATTTTTGTCGATCACTGGCTGCAATTTAAAATTGCTGGCCAAACCAACCCAATACTAAGCAGGTGACAGCTCTAACATCACCCTACCTCTCCTAAAATGGGACAGTTAGTACCAAGTGAATTTATCATCGCTCTGATAATGTGAAAGAAAAGTCCACCTTGACAGACATCATCTTGTGTATGGGGGCATCATCTATTATCTGTTTTGCAGACATGAAAATTTCTAATAAATGAATACTTAATTGTTAATATTGTAATTTTAAAAACAATTTCTGATATAGTGGGATTTGTTTAAAAGATCTGTTGCTGTCAGATGTAAGGATATGCCATTGGTTAAAGTTTATAAAATGATAGTTGTAAATGGCCTTCTCTCTGATTACTCTCGTATATCAACAGTTATTGAATTTGTTCTTTCACACCCAGTGCACACTGTCGAGTGTGAAAAGTTATGGTGAGATGACATTAACAAAAATGCCAATTGGAATCTGTCTTGATGTTTTACATCAAGACAGATTCCAATTGGCATTTTTGTTAATGTCATCTCACCATACTTGTTACTTATCAACTATGTTCAACTAATGTCATCTCACCATACTTGTTACTTATCAACTATATCAACTTGTTAAACATCTCCATAAATAATCCCAAGATGGAAATTTGATTTTCATTTTGCATTTGTTGCCTGGTGTGAATCAAAACCAAGAAGGATTGTTCAATAATGTATGATACTTGTGGATTGTAACAATAGGTTCATGGTTATGTTGGTAGTGCTACACTGTAATAATGTACAGTATCTATGAGAATAAACAAATGTTTAAACAATAATGTATTGTGTATTGTTCTAGGCAAGCTTCACAGATCAGAAATGTTAGCTATGGTTTCTAAAATTTTCCTACAACTTTTTTAAGTAAAATTATCTAAAATGCCTTAAACAACAGATTAGTAAAGTAAATGGGTTTTAGAATATACAGTGTTACCTCGGTATACGTCTGCTTTAGAATACGTCCAATTCAGAATACGTCCTGTTTGGACGAAACAAATTTTGCTCGGTATACAACATAATTCAATTATACGCACCATCTATGAACAAGTAGCACTATCCGTGTACTAGACCAGACTAGACGTTCGCAGTGCAATGGTTTATAACTTTGTTAAATTTCTTCTGATTTTAATTTGTAAGTAAAATTTTATTATTTTTATTAATCACGAATCGCAAAAAGGCAAATGAAAAGTGACAGAAAACTAAAAGAATGACTAGAATTACAATGGAACTGATAAAAGAGATTGTTGAAAAATATGAAGGTGGCACGCGTGTTCGAGATTTTAACTGTTGCCTACCATATTCCGAGGATGACGATATGGACAATTGCAAAAAATAAAGACATTATTAAATCTGCTAACGTTGCGAAAGGGGTTAAATCAATTTCTAAACAGAGATCGAAGACATTAGATCATGTCGAGAAATTGCTTTGCTTTGGATAACTGAAAAATAGTGCTGGAGACAGCGTATTGGAAGCAATTATTTGCGAGAAAGCTAAAAAGATACACGCTGATCTCACAAAAAATCAAGCAGGAACTAGCCAGGAAAGCGAGGTGTTTAAAGCCAGCCATTTTTTTTACACAAGAACGGATTAATCATTTTTACATTACTTCTTATGGGAAAGGTTGGTTTGGTATACGTCCAATTCGGTATAAATCCAAACATCAGGAACGAATTAAGGTCGTATACCGAGGTTCCACTGTATTACATTTTTTATATATGTATTTGTAAGAAAAATTTCCAGAAATTTTTATAATTAAATTTTATTAAGTAACAAAAAAGCCAATTTTGTAATATTTTATAAAAAAAATATATATTTATAGATCTAATATATCTTTAAAAATAGTTTTGGATGAAACCAGGGCTGTGGAGTTGCATAAAAATCTACCGACTCCAACTCAGACTCTGACTCCAACCAGGGGTGGACTTGTTACTGAAAGAGACACAGAAATTCTGATGTCATCACGTGACCTCAGAATAAAAGATTCAATAAATAGAGTTCTGATAAAGATAGAACGTAGAAACTTTTTATTCCAAAGCTAAAAGACTCCTCTAAGTAATATATAAATATGTATTCGATAATTGTTACTTTTCTTTCTGAAAGTGTAGCGCTCAGTCAAAAAATGACCCCTCCCAAATTTTTACATTTCTGGACTCAGGACACCTTGAAATTTCGAGATATGCAAAAGATTTGAGGTTTTTTCCTATATGTGTGGATGTTAGACTGTGTGTGTGGGGCATGATTTTGTTCACCCTGTTTGAAGTCTAATAATTTCTATGGTCAGAGTGGTCAGAACCAGAGTCAGATGGTTTAACACAGGAGTTAGTTATTAAGTGTCAAAGTCAGTGGCCTAGCATGGGTGTCAGCCGCCTGGGGCGGAAAAAACTTTCGCCGCCCCCTTATTTAGGTATCTCAATTTAAAAGACTAAAATTCAGTTTCGTCACAGAATAAGTAATGAAAAATTCTGTGCTCATTTCAATCGGTCCAAATCGTAGGCGTGACAAAAATATGAAATGAAATGGTTCAAATTTTTACAAGATATTATTATTATTTATTGTGAAATTTTGCCACCCCTGCCACCCCCACTACACTATGCTACTGGTCAAAGTGGTTGAACTAAATCATGTCCCCATATACATTCTAACATCTTAGTCAAGAACATCTTAACAGGTTTTACTGTACTATTATAAAATGCCAAAAAAGCTTACTTTAAGGATAGAGATGAGTTTTATTTTATATTTTTTTTTAATTTTGAACACTAATAACGAGTAAAATATTCATTAAGAGATATGACACATGACCTGTCTTCACCCTGTCGATCTTTAATTAAGAACCAAAATTTAATAGTATTAATGCCCCTTTATACGCAAGCTACAGTGCCACATTTCGTTTCTTAAACTTTACCCATTCTGAGATATTGTTTAATATCTCAGAACAGAAAATAAAGAAATTAAACAAATTAGATGCCAACACACACGCGCGTGAATTTTTCCCCTTTTATTGACTTTCTTGAGGGGTTCAGGAGGTCTCCAAACGTGTAGATTTGTAAAAAAAAAAAAAAAATTTGGAAGGTCAAATTTGATGTGATTCCAATACTTTTCCGTTTTATATACATAACAAGTTGGGAAGTAAAAAGGAGTCAGAGTCGGCGGATTTTTTGACGACTCCGACTCCGGCTAAAACACCAGAACTCCACGACTCCGACTCTGACTCCACAGCCCTGGACGAAACCAATAAAAATGAATGTAATAAAAATAAAAATGAAAGTATATTCATATACAAAGTACAAAAATAAAAAAAAAATTTTATATACAAATATATTATAGTTATAATCTTTGTTTTTTTTTTTAAATGTAATGTAGGTGTAAAAGAACTTGTAACCTGAAATGTATTAGTCAATTAGCCTACATCAATAAAGTAGAACAGCCAAAAAAAGTCTCTTGAAGTCCAAGTGAAAAAACATTCCCTATGTTCTCAGACAAGAAGCCAATATATAAGCTTGATAAATCTTATATTTGAAAAGAAGGACAAGAAGCAAATTTTTATTATAGTTATACTGTATGTAGAGATTATATAATTCATCTAAAATTTTTTGTAATTTTTTCAAGTTATATTATACAAAAATTAAGATAGTAGAAAAAACTTACCAAATACAGAAAATTTCTTCTTTTACATATTCACTTTGCATAAAAAGTCTCATTTCATCCAATGACAATATGCTAAATTATGGCATTTTTGTAAAGATATAATGTGAAAATATAGAATTATTTGAAACAAGAGAATACAGATTAAAAGAAAATAAAATTCAACACTCACCTCATATATATGATATTTACAACTTTCATCTTACATTTAGTAAAATTTAAAAGAAAAAATTACTATAAGACAATATTATGTAAGAAACTGTATAAAACATTTAAATAAAAGAAAATCCAGCAAAACACGCTTTATTAAACAGCAATGTACATTATACATGAAACTATACTTTATCATAGTACTTTAAAAAAGTCTATATAACATAATTATAAGTGATACACAATTATGTTACTCCATCTTTTCAATATATATGATGACTGACTACTTGAACATTTCCTTTTATGAAAAATTGCAATATTACCACACCAATATACAACAATAATAATGAATCATTTGGATAAGAAAAGAAATCACAAATAATATTCACAGCTTGTTGATAAACTATTAAATGATGTTGGTGCAAATGAATCTTCACAGATTTCATTTTAAAAGTATATGATAGATTATATCTTTAATAAACTTGGATATTTTTCAAATGAAATTTAATTCTGTAACTGGTCCTGCATTTCAATGTCCAAATCTGAAATAAAATACAGTATTATTATTTAGTAAAAAAAAAAATTTTGGGTAAATTTTTTTCTCTGTGTTGAAACTGTCCTTCATTAAATTATATTTTGAGACACCATGAAATGTTGATACTAGATATTGGACTTTTTCACATTAATTTTATTTTCTAATGTATTTCACAGTGTATAAACCAATTGTTTCAAATGCCAATATGCATTTCAGGCATTTGGAACAATTGTTTTATACACTATGAAGTACATCAGAAAATAAAGTGGATGTAAAAAGTCCAGTATCTAGTATTAACATTTCATGCTGTCTCAAAATATAAAATAAAAATGTTTCATAAACCATAAATATTATAATGCAATTACTGTATTTGAAAGCAAATTAATTTACTCAAAATGTAACATCTTTCATATATGACCTANAGCCCGTTTGGAGTCGACTGCGCATGACATACAACGACGGAAACGGGAAACGTGCATTCGAACTTACATATTTCGAATTTAAAGTTTTTACGAGCTGCATTTTCCATCAGAGATTCGAAAAAACCTGAAGAAGAACCGGTTAAGGGTTCGAAAACGTTAGTTTTGATTCGTTTTGGATCGTTAAGAGTTAGTAGACACACCGGTAACAGGTTAGAAAGAGGTAATTATATTACATATATGACCTAGTTTCTTGGCACTATAATCAACAGTTGATATAGTAATTTCAAATTAAATGGAGAAATTGAGCTCTGTGTATTAATACTCTGTTGTATGTGAATACTATATTTTTTTCTTTTAATAAAAACTATTTTGAATAATTGAGTTTCTACTGAATTTATAGGATTGAAAGTGTCGAAAAATAATTGTAGTCTTGGAACAAATCTATATACAGATATTTTTATATATAAATAGCAATTAAATAATTTTACATAGGTTATATTTATATTCTCAGAAATTATTTTTATCGTTCCTTCTTTAAACATATTAAAATTTCATTTATATCATTCAAAAGAACAATAATAATGAGGCATTTTATATCATTGATAAATATTAAATGAATTTCTATAAATTTTTTAATAATTATGTATTTTATTGTGATTAATGAAAGCAAGACCATGATCCATATTTAATCTATTTACATAAAAAATTTATATATTAAATAAATAATTTTATAAATAAATTTTCAAACTTTCATGAATATGAATTCTAATTAAACTTTTTGTTTTCCTAACTAATAGAAAAATTAAGTAATATGTCATTGAAATATATTTCAACTGAATGTTTTCTCACATATATATATACAGAGTGATTCTAAATATATGCAACAAATTTCAGTTGCTGATTCTTCAAATAATTTCAACTGTAAAAGTGCATATGAACATATGTTCAAAACAATAGAATTGTAATAACTGTTGAAAATGACTACTGCCAATTGTAATACAAAATTCTATCCTCTGCTGCATTGATTGATGCACACATTCACAAATATCAGGGGTGTGTCATTATTTCACACCATACAACAATTTGATTCCATAATTCATCAACATTTTCAATGGAGCCACATATTAAAATCCTGCGACTTTAAAACGATGCCATTTTGAACATATGTTCACATACACTTTTATGATTGAAATTATTTGAAGAATTAGTCCAAGATTTTTCACATATAGTTAGAATCATCCTGTATATACATGAAAAATATTTATTTTTTAATTTTTAAATTAATTTTTCCACCTCATTATAACTGATAAATAAGAACCAAATACAAAGTAAATCAAAAGTTATTTTCAGATTTTTTTGCTTATAATTTTTAAGAATGTATAATATAGATAAAGTAAAAATATTGTATATTCATGCAGGTGGCATGTAATCTGTAAACATATTATTAGAAAAGAACTAAAACCTATGCATAACTAACAGCAGTATATACTCTCAAGTGACAATAAAACCATGACCCTATTAAACTCATAATTTTAAATTGATTTCTTTGCAGATAACTTATAGGTTGTCCATATGAAAATACAGTATATTGAATCCCTTACATTTTATTTACACTGCAGTAGACTGTTTATTTTAATCACATATCATTATCAGTCATTTAATGCTATTAAAATTAGCAAGACCCAAATCATATACGTTAAAATACACTTATAAAACTTAATTTATTGTAATCAGAGTTTGGTTATTGTTATCACCAGTCGTAACCAGTGCTTTGAATTTTAAACCTTAATCATTATTTGTTCATAACACAATAGTTTAAATTGCTAATCTTTCTTATTCTATAATATGCTAGCTATTGTTTTAACAGCAACTAGTGATTAACAGATGGTAGCAAGCAAACATTACTGGATAAATTACATAATAATAATAACAATAAACAAATCTTTAAGTTATACATTTTTTAATTGCTCTTACATATTGTTTTAATATCAGAATCAATAAAACCAGAATTTTCTCCAATTGTAGTCTTTTTAAGTGCTATCAATATAAATAAGTCTCAAAGTGATTACATTAAGTAGATTCTACTGCATTTGTGAAAAAGTTATGTAATGATTATCTACAGAATTTTGAAGAGAGTTATGAATAATACCTTATTACTTTGAACTTAGCTGCACTTTTTATTCCAATTTTTAAGACATAAAATTAGAGTGCAGCTTAAATTCAAAGCAAATACTTTAACTTCTTATTTCTGCCGATTCCCCACTCCCCAACAATTGGGTCTTTGCTTTATGCTCTACGCATGCACATAGTATTACGATCGTTGATAGCAGTTTATTCAGTGGTTCCCTGTTCACACTTTTTAAATTTAATCCAGTTGCTGTTTGATAGCAGCTGTGTAGAATCAAATTTTAAATTAGTTTATTACTTGCACTCACCAATAATGGAAAAATGGTTTACATATAATGCTGAATTCACAAAGTTATATTGTGTGCCAAAGAAAGTGGAAATCATGCAGCCAGTAAAAGATTTACGATTGAACAAAAAAATATGTGTTGTTAGAGAGCTATAAAGAAAAAGTAATTTCAGTGTAAAAAAGACAGAAAATCATTCTCAGGACCTAAAATAAGAAAGATACCCTGCAACTGATTCAAATCATACATATAAAATCATTATTATTTTTTTATTATTTTTTCCAATTTTCTACTCCTACTGCAGCTTAAATTTGAAGGCGGCTTATATTGAAGTAATATGGTATATTGAAAACAGGAAGAATTTCAAACACAGTGAAGCTAGCCATTATAAGACAAACTTTTTCATAACTAACATAAATAAAATGCTATCATATGGAATTTATTTATATTTTTATTTACCACACTCTTAAAAGTTATAAATAAATAAAAATAAATTAGATTGTAATTTTGGTATGCTCTATAATCCAACTAGTTTTACGTGTCATTTAATTTCTTTAATATAGTTAATATTTTTGAAGTGCTTTGAAGTTATATTCAGAACATTCAATACTAAAATATTTCTTTCATATAATTTATTTATTTATTTCATTAAATTTACAGGAAAAGTCTGGATAGACAGTTGATTTCCACCCTGACAAAAACATATATCATAAAAACAAACAATACCCCTTAAAACAAAAACAAACAAAAAAATAAAAAAACCAAGTAACAAATCTTAAAATAGATACAGTACTTCTTCACATTTCAATTTAAAATCAAATAGATCAAGATGTAAAAATTCATCAAAATTATTAAGGTTTCATGATATACAGTAAATGAAAGACCATTGGGATATATTTAAATGATAAAAAGCAGTAAAATCAAAAGTGAGCAAAGTTTTCTCAATGGAATTTGGATTGAAAGCCAATCTTGATAAATAAGAATAAGACCATTAAAATATTTGTAATATATTAATTGGTCAAAATATTTAATTCTCTCAAAGAAAGAAAGGTAGCCCAGACAAATTCTAGAGATATTAGAGTCAATAGCGAAAGGCAGGTTACATATTTTGTTAAACATAAGGTAAATCTTATTAATAGTAGAAGTAATCTTGTGTAAAAGGGAAGGTGCCGTCATAGACCACATGGACAATCCATAATCAATGCAAGATTGAAAATTAGCATAAAAATGGTCTGCAATGACCTTTTATTAAAGATGGGATTACAAAATTGCCATAAAATACCATGTCTGATAGCCAGGCATTTAACTAGTTTATCAATATGATTTTTGAAAGTAAGTTTAGTGTCAAAAACTATGCCTAAATCGCTAATAGAAGTTACGTAATTAATTAGATTACAACAGATGTAAAAAACAGGTAATGGAGGATTATGAATCAAAGCATAATACATAACCATTGTTTTCTCTATATTAATTTTCAGGTTTGCAGATTTAAACATATTTATTAATAAATAGATATCAGACTGTAAGATAGATAGATCAGAACAGATTAATTTTATCATTGGCATAAGCTACAATATGAGATTTAAGTTGACAGAGAAGATGATTTAAATACTTTGAAAACAAAAGGCCACTAAAAATAGATCCTTGTTGGATACCACATAAAGGAACAAAATCAAGAAAAGTATAATCACCTATTTTAATTTTATAAGTTCTTAATAAGAAATAATTACTGAACCAAGAATAAATCACAGGATAGATATCATATTTACATAATAAGTTAAGAAGGATATCAGGTAATACAGAATTGAATGCACTACTTATATCAATATATACTATGTAACAAGGCTGCTTATTTTCAAAATCATTAATTATATAAGACAAAGTTTGTAATAAATTCATTGTTGTTGAATGGTGGTGAATGCCACAATGTTGAAAAGAAAGGAGTTTACTAGATAAAGGAGAGTAGATTCTACAGTATATGCAGATTTCAAAAATCTTTTAACATTGCAGGGGAAATGTAATGGGTCAAACAGTGTTTTCATCTGTTTTTGGAATTGGAATAATTGTTGATGTGATCCATTGATTGGGAACATAACTAGATCAAATGTAATGAGAAAAAAATTTTGAAAGTATAACAGCAGAAATAGATTGCACAGCTGGAATATGATGTAGACTGAAAGTAGATGTATTAAGTATATTAATAGCATAAGAGACTTCTAAAAATTAGAATGAAAAAGAATGTTTGCAAAGAAAAAGTAAGTGGTTTGTAATTGGCTTCTGGAATAATATTAACAAGTTTTTGTTTAAGATTAAGATAAATATCATGTACTTGATTATCATGAAACATAAAAGTCTTATTAGGAGTATTCCTAGAGAACTTCGGTATGAAAGCCCAAAAAGTCTTGGAATCAGGAGGCAAAAGAATTAACTATTCTATTAAAATAATTTTAAAAAGACAATAAACATTACTTATGATACTGTTTTTGTATGACTTGATATAGGTATAAATCTCTTGAATTGCCAGATTTTTTCCACTTGTACCATTGTTTTCTATGAATATTACATAGTTTTTTAATATGAGCAGAAAATCATTTATATGAATAAACATTGCTTTTTCATAATTTTAAATACTTTTCAATGGCTGAACTTAAAATATTATAGGTCAGATTGGTAATAACAGCAACTGGCAAATGAGAAGATTCTAAGAATGGCCAATACATAAATATCTAATAGCAGCTTTTTGATTAAACTGTGACCAAATACTAACTTTAATGAAACATTTAGTTTTATAAGGGTCAGAAAAAATTGAAACATCTAAACAAATAGCTAATCAGAGGCAAAACTGTTGGTAAGAGATGTAGCTATGGAGCATTTATTTAAAAATGCCAGATCAAAATAAGAATTACAACAAGGAGGAGATAAAATCTTTCTCATGATAATTCTAACATTATAATCCCTTGGGAAAGTTGAAAAATAACATATTTCATTAAAAAAAAAAAGGCTTCAGCAAGATCTAAATTACAAAAACTTGGACCAGAAGTAGTCCAGAAAACATTGGATAGATTAAAACCTCCACAAAGAATAAGCCTCTGGTTATGTATAGATTCAAGGGAGCATAGAAAGCAGTATAAAGTTTGAAAAATACTCATTCTTTTAGAATGAGGAGCATAAATCAAAATAATAATCAAATGGAGATCTGGAATGTTAACAGCTAGAATGGAGTCCCAACATTCAAAACTTTTGAATACATAAAGTGATATAGGTAATAATAATATGCCACTGTCTCTGATTTTGATGGGTAAGAGAAAAAATTGAAAACCCATTTGGTTAATAAAATTGGTAATGTCATATCAACAAGAATGTAAAAATCAAAATCATTGTTATAATACTAGATAAAGTTATAAGCTTATTATTTATTGATCTGACATTCTGGAGGAAAATTCTGAATGAGTTATTAGAAAAATACATAATATCATGTAAGTATCAGAAATAATTCTTATATAAAAATTAAAAGTAAACATGACAGAACAATGATAAATGCGACAAATACGAAAAACAAAGAAACAACCCAGTAATATTATCAAAGTAATATTACAATTTATATTTAATTAAAGACACAAATAATAATTTTAAATAATTCTTACCTATATTGTTTTTTTCTGTTTCATTATCAGTTGATAAATCATTTGAAAATGAATTTTGATTGTTCAATTCATTATTACAAATTTCTTCATTTCTTAAATTTAATTCAGATATATTAGAAGTCTGTACTATTATTCTCTCTTCAAATGTACTAGAAAATTCTGTCATATTTTCTAATGGTTTTGCCTCTTCTATTGTTTTTTCTAGTACTTGCAATGAAGAATCTATCAAGAGATATAAAAAAATACTAAAAAATTAAATTGGATTTTTAAATATACTTAAATTATTTTATTTATTTATGATTAGTATCTAAAATAACTTAAATATTTTATATATATAAATCAAATTTCTTAAAATCAGTCAGGTTTAGCATTTTAGGTAATCCTTTTTCATATACTATAGAAATATGTATAATTTCAATTAAACTTTAACTAACTTGTGAAACATGTATAATAGAAAAAGTTATAAAGCTTATTTCAGCAAATATATTTGTTTAAATGAGAGCATTGTAAATGATAAACAAAATTACAAATAAAATAATAACAATTTTTGTTGGAATTTATCAACATAAGTGTTACCTCAGCAGTATATACAGTGAACCTTGTTTATATGTTTCAAAGGAAACAGAAAAATATTGTACAAGTGAGAAATACATACAAATAAATTATTTTTGAATTGCTTTCAGAGTGAATATAGTCATAAAAAAGTGCAATACAACACAAATAAAACTATACAACTGAATTTGTGTGTAATTCTTGACAAAGAAGTTTCAATTTTCTATATATATATATAATAAATTGAACAACATTTAAAAGGAAAAGTAAACAATGTGAAATTAAGTCATGCACTTAAAAAAAAGAAATCCCACCAGTAGCCAAACAGATAAAACCACTGAACACTGGTAGTTAGTCATGCCTTACCAACAATTGTGAACACTGGCAATGTGGAGTTTTCCAGGTTTTCTTCATGTTAGTACACCTAAATAAGGGCAAGTTTTCCATAAAAGACTTCCCAGAAAGCATTCTTTCCTCAGCAGATCACCTATGCATCCCATTCACTTAAATGAAGAAAACCAAAAACTTTTAAAAATTGACCAAGTTTTATTTGTTTCTCATTTTTCTTGATGGACTTATCACACACTAATACAGTATGTGCCATCGGAGGTTTCCTTCTGTCAAAAGCCACATGAAAGAATGAAGAGTCATTCTAAAAGTGAATACATAATTTGCCTTTTCACTTTTTTTAATAACCACTTTAAATTTTTCCATTTCAAAGGCATAAGTGAGAAAAAGTGCTGAAGAATACTAAAAAAAATATGACATATAAGTGAAAAATCATATAAATGAAACATATAAAGTATTTTAAAATAGAGAATGTACCATGCAGAAAATATTTAATGTGCAACTGAAAAATGTATAAATGGAGTTTGGCTGTAACACCTACAGTGGTCAAACTATGGATTGGGAGCTAGTTATGATTCTTCTAGACCCATAGTTCCCAATTAGTGGTACCCCTGGGAGTATGCAAAATTGCATGAAGGGGTATGCGAAGCAATCTAAAATCGGTCGATTTAAAAGTTAAATGCATGAGATGAAGCAATCAAAAAATAATGGGTGGACCATCAAAAATTCGGCAATTTACAACATGATGTCGAATGCACAAATTTGTTTATTTATAACTAAAAATATTCTTGAAATTTCATCAAAAAATACATTTGTGACAATACCTAAATGAAATTCTTATGCAAGAAACAAAAATTGTTTCTTGCATATTATCATGTCAGCGAAGCGGCAATAAAATATTTACTACCATTTTTTGCACAACATATCTCTGCGAGAGCAGATTTTCGGCTATGACAAACATGAAAACTAAACATCATCACCGACTTCAACTCGAAGATGACTTGAGACTGAAGCTGACCAAAAAGCAACCAGATTTTACAAAGTTGTGCAAAGAAAATCATGCACATTTGTCATATTAAAATTAAATAACCTTATGTTATTTTCATTATTATTAGAATTGTATTTTAAAGGTAATAAATGTAAAAAACTTATTCTATTTACCACTAGCTGTCTACCTACAGCTTTGCCCACATTATATCGAATTTTCTCGTGGGAGTAAGATATTTTCTCACAGTAAAACGTAGCCCATATCCATCTTCAACATATAAGCTATCTCTGTGCCAAATTTTATTAAAACCTGTTCAGTGGTTTAGACGTGAAAAGGTAACAGACAGATAGACAGAATTACCTTCAAATTTATAATATTAGTATGGATTAATATGAATTTCTGCGAGGTACGCGAGTTTGAGCTCTTTCTTGAAGTGGTACGCAGGACTAATTGGGAACCACTGTTCTAGACCCTTGCTGCAGCTACCATATACTTATGCAATTTCCTTTTATAAACTTGGTAAGTACTAATTAAAATGCCTCAATGTCCTTTTTTCTTAGTAAAATATAAATTATCGTCTATAATAACGTATCTTCTATTACCAGGACTTATTATACTGGCACTACAGAAATATTACAAAGTTTTACAGAAAAACATTTTTTATTTTACTTAATATACCTGTAATATAACACGTATATTAAGATACACCATTAGAATCAGTAGATACTCCAAAAAGACGATCTAACATCTGTTTTGCTGATAAAATTAACAAGGTCTTAGTTGGTAAGGCTGGCAAACTTTTTTCACTTGGGAAAGTTGAAACTTTTCCACAATTCTTTCCACTATTGAGATATTGTATGAGGCCAGTCAGTTTGACATTTCTTCTCTCTGCTATGCGTCGAATAAACGACTCTTTTAGTCTTCTTGAAAAAGGTGTGTTTAGTTGATTTAACTCATTTACAATAAAAGAAAAAATACCTTCCGATGAAAGTAAAGTCGATCCTCTGTTGCCAAGCTTTTCTGCTCCAGCTTTTAATGGCTGCAGTGATGCCACGATGTCACGAATTACAGTAACTTCTTGTTTGTCAAGATCAAAATTGTCCGTATCTTTATTACAGTCAATGATTGCTTTCGATATGGATGATCTTATTTTAATAAATCGCTCTAACATGGCTAAAAGGCTATTCCATCGGGTTTTGGAATCCAGAAATAAGTGCAAATTTTTCCCATGTTCCTGTTCAACGTATTTTTGTAAGATGTTATTCTTTAAAGGTGATTTGCGAAAAAATTTTGCTATTTTTCTAACCTTATTAATGATTTGAGAACAGACGATTTCATTACCTAGTGTGTCATGTAATTCAAATGAAATATCTATATCGAAAGGATCTTCAGCCAAACGCTCACACAAAACACTTTCAAAATCAATACTATAACTAAAGTCTTCTTCATCTTTCTCAATATCGTCATTGCGCTCTTCATCTTCAGTTTGAATTTCTTCAGAAAGAGGGACTGCTACTGAAGTNCTTATCGTGTTATGATCGCGAGACAGCACAGCGATAACACCGAGCGAGAAAATCGCGTTGTCAAAAAAGCTGCAATAACTTATTTGAAATTAATTGGGATTGGGCCGGTCATTGAAACCAGGAGAAAAAGATAGAATGTGTAGTATTATGGTAAAGGTTAAACATTCTACATTGTTATTTTATTCAATTGCAAGTGTGCTCATAATAATTGCGAGAATACAGAGCTCTCACTCTGCCAGAGAATTCACTGCAGGTGGTAGTAAGGTATTGTTTTTCGCAAAATTTCTGTTAAAAATATATATATATATATATATATATATAAATTTTTAAAACCTTTGTTGGAATCACTTCAGAACGTATCAATTGAGGATTACTACAAAGTCCGCAGTTCAACAATTATTTATTTTTGAGACATATAAACAAAAAAAAACTAATAAGCAGGCTTAAATTAATAAATACAAATGCATTCTGGCATTCTGACAGTTTATGAGTTAATTATACTTTCTATTCGTAAAATTTCTTCAATCTTAACACAAAATAAGAAAAAAGTAAACTTTTAAAAAATTTGCGGGATTTCCCGGGATGAGAAAAATTTCCCAAGATATTTCCCGGGGTAAAAAAATAGCCAGGATCCCATTTGAGAAACCCTAATTTAGACCAATCAGAAGACAAAATGACATCTGCCTATGTTCATGTTAGGTGCCAATTTATTTGAAATAAACTATAGTAGTTCAGAAATGACATAAAAATATACTATATAAAGTTTTCCAAAAACAGCCAAATATGTACACAAATGTTATTAAAAATAATAACTATCATTAAATCTATGCCAATTGATGATAGAGACTTATTATTATTATTATTGATATTAAGTTTTTATTTTATTTTTCTTTTGTCGTCAGCATTGTATCTATCATAATGACTGAATTGTCTAACTATATGAGGCAGCATAAAATTTTTCAAGCTCTATTCAAAGCCAGTATGTTCCAATTTATTTACAATATAGAATGATGCAGTGTTTTTAATGTATTCATGAATGTTGTATTTAGAATACAACATTCACAACTTTATGTAATTTCTGACTTATAATCTAATTTACAAGTAAATTTGACAATTTAAATCTAATTTTATTTTATTTGTTTTTTTCCTTTACAGTATCTGAAAGTGTACTTCCATTCAATTTTGAATATTGGTATCAAGTAAACAAGTGGAATGATTAAAATTTTCAGTTACTCAACCTAAAAATAATTCAAAGTCAAATAAATCAAGAAATATTGAATAAATAAAATACATTATTAATTCTCAAATATTAAATACAGTAGAGCATTGATTTTCCGAAACAATTTGGGACTGGGGTTGTTTGGATAATTGATCATGTATGAAAAATATATTAACCTATCCCATGTTGAAATTTTTCTCTGTTGATGTCACTTTGCATTAAATTTTCATCAATGTTAAGCCTAACAAAAAAAATTTTTTTTAAATAATAATTGTAGCTATTGTATTGTTAAAAATTACTTCTTTATTTTGCACAAACAAAATAAATATATTGAAAAATATAAAAAACAAAAAAAAAAATAAAAAATAAATTATATTTCGGAAGTTAATCTAGTTTCAAAAATGTTCTGATTCAGCATGACACACATCCAACACTCAGTCCTCAGAAAAACACAACACAAAACAAACAAAACTCTTTCTTTTTCTTGAGTATATCTGGAGATGTCAGCCGCTTGAGCTATATTCTCCGACGAGCTGAAGCAAAACACATCACTCGCGATGGAGAGGAAAAAAGCCTCGTTCAAATACTGGCGTGTCCTTAAGTACCCTCTCAACGTGTGTTGTGCTGAATTGGAATGTTTTTGATACTAGATTAACTTCTGAAATATATATTTTTTTGTTTTTGTATTTTTCAATATATTTATTTTGTTTGTGCAAAATAAAGAAATAATTTTTAACGATACAATATGGTCGTGCCAGTGCTTCCAGCTAAAACACGCACACCTACAAAAATAATATTGGAGTAGCCCAGACAGCCAAATATTGCAGGGCCACAGCACTAGCAAAAATTTGAATGTGCCAACTGAATCACTTTCAGTTAACCAATGTTTCAGTTGATCAGTATTCGGATAATCGATGCTCTACTGTATAAAATAATTTAAGTAGTTCATATTCTGATGAGGTAACTACTTATTGTTTACCATTATTTCATTTCTTATACAAGTTTCACTGCAATGTATAACTTAATAATTACAAATGTTGAATTAAATATATCATCTTTAAATAGCATTTTATAAAAAAATTTGCATAATTTAAATTTTAATAAAAATGTACCTTTATTATTAATATCTTTGTTTTTAGAAATGTCTGTATTCATTAATATTTTAGATATTGATTGATTATGAAATTGATCAATTCTCTCAGATGACTGAAATGATATATCAGAACAGCTATCTGATTTTATTAAAGAATTATCTTTTTCTGATTTATCTTGTGTACAAATGGTACTTTTTTCAGGTATTTCTTCTATTTTATCAATTTCCATTGTTTCATGTTGTAAATTACTTAATTCAGTTTCCTATAAAAATTCAATTTATTAATAATTTAAAATAGAGTATCTAAATAAAATAAAACTAAGATTACTTACAGTTTGTGCAGATATTAGATTTGATTCAGATTCTAAACTAATTTCTAATTCTGCAGAATTTGAAAAATTAATATCTGTATGTAAATCTGAATTTGTATTTGAATTTGCATTACTATCTGTTTTTACTTGCAATATTTTTTCAGGGGTTGATTCACTGTTTATTTCTATTAAGTTTACATTATCTTCTCTATTTGAGTCAACATTTACATATTTTATGTTATCATCTGAAATTTCTTTAGCACTTTCACTAATAATTCTAACTTCCTTTTGCAAAATACATTTTTTATTATTCTCTCTTAAACTGGAGTTATCATTATCAACAGAATAATCATCACAATCCATATTCATTGATTTGGATGATTCTTCAATAATAACATTAATGACATCACTAGTTTCTACTAGGTCAAAGTCATTACTTTTTATGCATGAAATGTTAGATATACAAGGTTTAAAAACTGAATTATCTGTAACTTTTTCAGATATTTTATTTTCAGATAACATTGTGTTATTACTACGCATTTCTTCAAAATTAATTTTATGATGAACAATTTCATGTTCTTCATTAGATATTTTTGGTAAATTTTGAACTGTTTCAGATTCTTGCCCTAATGGTATTTTATATTCATTTGGTTTTTGTTCTGAAATGTTTTCTAAATTAATATTAACAGTTGATTCTCTTAACATTAATTTTTCACAACTAGACAATCCATCTTGAACATATTTTTTATTTTCTTCAAATGAAGAAACTAATGCAGAATCAAAACTGTCTCTATTATTTTCTTTTTTTAAAATAACTTCATTATTTATAGCAATTGAACTGATATTTGAATTGCTTTCCATTTCAGTAATTAGTTTTTCTTTCTGAAAAAGTTTGCTATCACTTGATTCTAGTTCACATTCAGTAGATTGTAGCTGATTAATTATTTTGTTTTCATTATTACAATCATTACTACATTTTTCTTCTGAAATATTAATAGATTCACTTTTATGATTATGATCTTGATCAACAATTTTGTCACAATCAACTTGTGAATTATGTTCAATATCCTCACATGGTATAAATTTGTTACTTTCTTTCTCTAAAGCCTCTATAGCAGCTTTAAATTCAATAAGAGATTCTTCAATTTTATTATTTTCAGTAGCTGGACTGCTATCAAATTTGATAATTACATCATGCTTTGTGTTTTTTTCTTTATCAAATTTACAATCATATCTTTCTTTATTAGAATCTGTGTATGATTCATTCTTTTTAGTTTCCTTTATGAGGGTTAACTCAACAGGATTTTTTATTTTTTCTGTCACTGTAATTTGTACAGGCTGAAGAATAGTTTGATTTTCTGTTTTTTCTTCATTTATGTTTGAAATTCCTTTAATTACTCTTATTTCAGAAATTTTAGATGTCTCTTCATCAATAAAATTATCATGTTTTTCTAAAGTTTCGGATTCTAAATGTATCTGTTTAAATGGATAATGAAAAGTTTCTTTCTCTGTGGATGAATTTTCTCTTAAAATAGAAAATTCAATATTTTTATCATCATCATCATCATCATCATCATCATCATCATCATTTATTACATCAATACATGATTCATTTAATTCTGTTTTAGCTGGTTGCTTTTCTTCAAATTTTCCAGCAAATGCTTGAGCAATATCCATTGCAGAAGGCAATATACCATCATCATCTGCTTTATCAACATCATTAAGATGTGGTTTCTGTTCATAAGATTCTGGCATAGGTTCAGGTCCATATACAACAAGAGGCTGTGCTTGATTCTTTTTCTTTCTTAAAGGAAAACTACTTTGCTGAATTGTTACTTTTACTTCATTTTCTTCTTCTTTATCTTTTTCATTTTTCTTAAATTTAGTATTATTCTTTTTCACAGGAATTTGTTTTTCAATTTTCTCATCTTTTTTTTCTTTTTCATCTTTTTTCTTCCAATTGAATTTTCCAAATCCAGATGGATCTTGCTTATTTACTAAAGCTGATCTAAAGTTTGGTGCTTTTCCTATAAAAATTACTGGGACAGCTTTAGTTTCTTTTTGAGTTGTCTTTATGTCTTTCTTCTGTTTATTAAGTTTTCCCTTATCACTAAGAAGAGTTAGTTTAATCCCTTTTGGTTTATCTTTATCGTCTGTTTTATTTGGAGTGGCATCTTTTGGAGGTATAATAGTAGTATCTATTGACAACTTTTTTAACTCTTTAGCACGTTCTGTAGCACATTCAACAGCATGTTCTTTTGCACGTTCTTTTGCACTTTCAATTTCTTTCTGTCGCCTTTCAGCTTCTCTCTTCTTTTTCATTTTAGTTTCATTTTCAATTTGCTGTCTTTTCTTTTCTTCTTTCTCCAATACTAATCTTTTTTTTTCTTCTTTTTCAGCTCGAGCTATGCCTGCTGTTTTATCAAGATTCCATCTTCTTTCATAAAATGGATTTAAAAGAGTATATTTCTAAACAAAAATAAATAAATAAATAATTCATTAAATTGTAATATTAAATACATAAAAGTTATTAAAATATTAATTATTTGAAAAAAATGCTTGAAATGCTCCTGCAATAGTCAGTGCAGAAAATACAAAAAAACTTTTTCATTAATATTAAATTATATTAAATTAATGTTTATTTCTTACTGTATAATTCCTGTTATGTGATGTGCTTTTAAGATGATCTTCAGCACAAGTTGCATCAGCCATAATTTCTTTACACAGAGAGCAATAGAAACCTTCCACTGGCATCAAAAACTGAACACCTTTCAGAATATTTTAAACTAGGTAAAATTTTCTTTAAAAAGCAAATTACAAATATTTGTGATGTAAACATTTTTAAAAATATAATTCAAAATTATTACACAAATTATAAAATTTTATTAAAATTTATGTACACATATTAAATTTAAGCACTTTACTTTTATATATTTAATTTTACCAATAACTTATTTATAACAATTAAATAAAAATATTAATTTTTTAATATAAATAGATTAATATAATTTGAATTGTGCATAATTATCATACTTTATTTATTCTAATGTGCCAATGAATCTAACATGCATCTGAGTTTCAAGACATCAAAACCAAAAAAAGTTGGTGTGAAAATGTAATATATGCTACTATATTGAAAATGCAGCTACAAAAAGTTGATGCATTTAAACAGCAATAAATGCAGTTTTTGAAAAATGTTTTGTTTTCATGTTTACAGTGCTTCACAATGCCCACATTTTTCAAATGTATTCAAATGTAATAATTTATGACTGCATTATTAGTTACAAAAGATCTGCAGACTAATACAAAATCACAGTAAAAATTGCCATACAATCAATGTTTTAAAAGCAAGATTTTACATCTGTATGCATAAGCACAAAATTTATCAGATATGTAGTATCACACTAAAATATTTGTATACATGTTCTTTGGCATAATGGATAATTCTCAACTTAACCCTTCTTCTCCCAACTGGCTCTACAAATTTTAGTGCTTCAGTTTGAAGACATCCAAGGCTAATATTAGTCACTGAAGGTCACTAAACACATTATTTTATAACTTTGTAAAATATTCAATTTTTATCAGACATCTATGGAAAAAATCCTGTGTAAACATTTCTTTGTGTAGTTTCTGATTATTTAGTTTTTGTTCATGAATGTCAAAAATTAGTTACAATAAAAATTAGTTTATTATCACTTACTGTTTGTAATATTTTACTATACTTTTACAATATATAAAATAATTTGATTTTATTCATTTAACTTTTTCAATGACATAGCTTGAAGTAAAAGTTTGTCTTTTACATTTTGATATAAGATTTATATATATATTGATGTATTTAATGTGGAGCAATTCTTATTTATATCAAAAAGTTCATGTTTACATTTTTCACGTCTATTTTATGTAATTTTACTCATCTAAAATTAACAAACTTCAATAGTTATCATAATCGTATTAAAAAGAATTGATCGTTTCGTATAAAATTTTTTAATGTTTATTATGAAAAAAGCATATGTTTAGAAAATTCAAATAATAAAAAACGACAATTTTCAAAAAAAATTGAGTTTTATACAAAAATTTATAATTTTATTTATTTATAATTTTTCCAAACACATGTATGAATTTGTTATTTGAGTTTCGTTATATTATTTTATAATTCTTATATATTTTCTTTTGATAAATCCTATACTGTATATATATATACACATACATATACAATAATACCCTGAACTTACGTAATAGGTGGGACCGAGCGATAACCACATAAGTCGGGGTATAATTTCGCAATTTGTCTAAAATCCAAGTCGGATGTATGTAAGCTAATAAATGTTCTTGTTAATCTTATCTCATCTTTTGATTCATTTATGATTACAAGAAATCACCACATAAAGTCTCTCAAGTCTCCGTAGATATAACAAACACAGAAATAAATAACAAAATAAATTGTAGCTATGTGTCGATTCTGCACGACACATCCGAACATGTAAGCTGAACAATAGTGTAGGGGAGCGAGTAATCAAGAGTTGCGTGGCACTCAAACAAAAGACGAATTGAGGAGATTTGAAAATCGCGTAACTCTGGGTTTGTGTAAGTTGGAGTAGCGTAAGTCGAGGTATTACTGTATATATCAACTTATCAAAAGAAAAAAAAACATAAGCATTATAAAACAGTAAAATGAAATTCAAAAAACAAAAAACACATGTGTTTCCTTTGAAAAAATTGTAAATAAATAAAATTATAAAATATATTATATAAATATATAT